AAGATAAACAAGAATTGGTTGAAGCATTCCATAAACATTTTTATTTTCTCAAATTTAATACACACTATAATGAATTAACATAATCCTCACATTCCATTAGATCTATGCAACCATTTTGATTTATATTTACAGTACATGTATCTTTCAGATCTTAACATTATTAATGATTTTATCCAATATAATCAGTACATTCTATATTATCTGCATTGATACATTCAACTCCATTCCAAAAACATGTACCTTCTATTGCTGCATTAGATACACAATTTGATTTATTCAATACATCACATGTACTCTTTTCTTAACAATTAGTATTATTATTATTTAAAATACAACATTAAGTAATATCTTCTGAACATTCAATATATGAATTGCATTCAGTCATATTTATAGAATCTAATTCAAATTAAGCTGTATAACATGATCTTGGTTAGCATTCATTTAATCCCCATACACAATCATCATCTTCAAAATGACAATTTAATTCTTTTTTTCTATCCTCACATAATTGTGGTAATTCCATACAACCTATAGTATTGCTTACTACACATCCTTTTAAATATGAATCACATAATTCATTTGTATCATAACTTGAATCTGCTGTAAAACATTATCTATCTATACAAACATTCCTTTAACTATCCCATCCACATTCTCCATCTATTTTTAAATAACAATTATCTTTTTTACTATTCCCTCTACAAGTCAAAGGTAATAATATACATCCATTTCCTTCATCGTTTAAAGTACATTCATTTAGATACTTATTACATTCTAAAGCAGTAGTCAACTTTGCTAAACTGCATTCTTTACTTGAACATTTCTCCATATAAAAACATTTATTATCATTTAAATCGGTTATACATAATTCCTGATTTTAGATATTTTCACAAATCATGTCAACACATCCTAGATTTGTTTTTGGATCTATTGTACATTTTTCACTATAATCTTAACACTCCTGGTGATATTCAAATGATAAAGGAGCATTTGAGCATGTTCTATCAACACATAAATTATTATCATTCCAAAAACATTCATCTCCATTTAAATCAATTAAACAAGCTTCTTCTATATTGTAATCTGAACATCTACTGATTTTCATGCATCCTCCATCCTTTTTAGTTACACATCCTATCAAAAACTTTGAACAATCTAAATTACTAATTAAAGTATTAGGAGCTAATGAACATTAAGCAACTAAACACATATTATTAACCCATACACATTAATTATTAGATAAATCACTTTCACAAGCATCTTCAAGTTTTGCTGAACCACAATTTAAATTATCAACACATCCATTTCCATTTGTAATACAATTTGATAAAAATGATTAACATTCACTATTTGTTTTATAAGTATTAGGAGCATTAGTACAAATTTTATCCATACATTTTTTACCATCCCAATAACACAATTCTCCTTTAATATTTTTTTTACATGCTTCCTATATTGTAGCTGCCTCACAAGTACTTCTATCTATACATCCTCCATTTTATTTTGTAGTACATTTTTTAATAAAATAAATACATTATTCATCAGTATTAAGTGTATTAAGTGCATTCTAACATATCTTATCAACACATGATGTTCCATTCCAAAAGCATTCTTATGTTTAATCTCTATTCCAAAAACATTGATTCTGGAATAATTAATCAGAACATTTCATACCACTCTCTACACATCCTTCACCAGATTATGCTACTGTACATGTATTTTATTCATCTCTACATAATTAATCTGTATTTAAGAATTTAGGGTATTATTCACATGAATCAGCAGTTAAGCATTTTTGAATTGATGAATCCCAATAACAGTAGTTTTCATTCTCATCATATTAACAAGATTATTAAGTCAAATATCCATCACATAAAGCAATTTCAACACATTATTGACCATTTGAAATACATCTCTTTGAAATTGATTAACAATCTTCATCTTTTTCAATTTCATAAGCACTACATCCTGTAAAATGACCACAAATATTATTAATTAAAGCACAATTAAAATTAATAGCGCATTCTGTCTTTGAAATTAAATTACAATAGGATGGATCTTTATCTGTTTCCTTTGTGTCTGGTTTTATTACTGTTTCATTTTTCAAACAATTAGTTGAATTCCAATAACTCTACCCTTCATAATAATGTTCACAATCAAATTATGAAGTAATGTTTTCTCTAAAGCATCGATAATTCTTATATTGACTTAAAGCATCATGTACTAGAATAAATTTTAATAAAAGAGTAAACATCATAATTAATTAATTTTATCTAAAAATATTAATTTTCTTTTTGTAATAATAACAAATTCTTAATATTATTTATTTAATATATANCTGGAGTACCCTATGGTTAAACCAAAGACAAATTCTAGAATTACGATATCTTTAACAGTCTTAATACATAGTATATCCAATTCCTCTACTTAGAATGCATCCAGATCTAATCGTATTATAATTGGACCCTTCACCTTATATTGCAAGACAAAGATTCCTGGCTCATAAATGTGCACTTTAAAATGTAGAGGGTTATGAAATGTATGACACTCCTTTGATAGATCCCCTCAAACCACATGCATGGGAAGAAGCAATAGTCAATTTAGTTGTCTTAGACATGTTAAATGCCAATAAAAATTTAGATGAAATTGATTGGTCTAAAGGTCTTAGTACTTATTCCTATGCTAATATCTAATCTAAAGAAATATAAGAAGCCAATAAAAATCTATTCATATAAACTATTGATGAACACATTATCAACCATAGATATTCAGAATACTATCTCATTAATCGTGTACTTTACACAGCCCTTATGGGTAAGCACAAAGTTTTATTGGCTGATATGCCTGATCATTTACATAAATTAAATATAGGTGGTACTCTTGAAATCCAAGAAGCTAGAGATCTATTTAAATATACTCTACAAAAGACTAAATAAATGAATGACATTCCTATCACCTTAAGAAAAGCTGCTTATGATTTCTTACCACATGTTTTCTAAACACCAAAAGATTTGTATATGACTGGAATGTTGAAGAGTGCTTTCGAAGGATGTGAAACTATCAATGCTTATGTTGGAATTCCACACTTAGTCCCCATTAACAATTATTGGGTTGAAGCTCCTCATGGTATTAATTATACAGAAGCCACTCGAATCCCACCTAGAAGAACTGGAGAAACTGATGAAAATTAAATTGAAAAAATGGCACTTTTAGATGTACTTCTTGAAACTCACACTTGGGCAGAACCTTACTTGAGCAATCCTTTCCCATATATTGTAGAGGATCTTACATAAGTATAAATTATTCTAATTATTCAAAGGCTACAGCTGGAGATCTAAAGGCAATGAAAGAATGCTTTTTACAATATTACTAAAAATATAGTGCATATAAAAATGAATTACAAAAGGAATTACCTAATTTAAGAAATCATGATATTAAGTTTATTGAAAAAACTAGAGAAGCCATTCCTGATATGAAGTATGAAAAATCTATTGAGATAAAAGCTTTAACAAACAAATAATTATAATAAAGAAATGTAGAAATAGTATAATGATTAGCTTAATTATAATTAATTATTCATTCAATATTTATTCTACATTATAGAAACTTTAAATTTAGTATAATTTATATAGATTTTTATATTTAAAAAGTTTAAGTTCTTCAATAATAATTTTATATGAATATAAATTTAGTTATTTTAAATTAAAAATATTTAAAAGACTTAAAAATTAAATTCATTGTTTATTCATGAATAAGTCTCAAATAAATAAAATTATTTGCACAATCAAAAAGATAATTAGAATTTTACTAAATTACTAACTAACAGTGATATTTTTTTAAGGTGGTTGGCAAGATTAGCATTAATTATTATATGTATAAGTATAACCTGAAAGCAAATAACATTCTTTTTAATCTAAGTTTGTTGGATTTTCTATTTGATCACATGTTTTATTTTAAATTTTACAAAATGTTATTACTGTCTTATCCCAATTATAAAAGAATGAACATATTTTATTTTATTCATAATAAGTTTAACATGTATGTTCTAAACATTTACTAGAAGATGTATTAGTAGCCATCTTAAAGTAACACAAATCTTTAACTTACAAACAGGAGTTTTAATCCTAATCAGATTGTTCACATGATTTCATTAATTCACATTTATTACGTTATGTTGTTGTGGTTATATTAGATGAAATAGGAGGTATCCAAGAACAAAACCCATCAGTTCCTTTAGAATTACATGAAGTTTGGGTTTTATAATCCTTACATTATGATATAGCAACGCATGATTTTCCATCATAAGTGCATTTACTATTTGATTATTTGCATTGTTCAACAGAATTGGAATTAGTAATACTAGCACATCCAATAACTTCACATTTATTATTGATCCAAAAACATTATCCTTCATCACTTTTAGCAATCTTGCATTAGGCTTAATCTGTTAAACTGGAACAATTAAATTTAGAAACACAGGTTTTACCATCACTAGTACATGAATAGAGTTATGATTCGCATTCTTCATTGGTTGTACCAGTTAAATCATTACAAACTTGATTTCTGCATTGATTTGCTGAAACATCCCAAACACATTATCCAGTTGAAATTACTCTTTTATCCTATATTATTCTACCACCACTATTAATAACACAAGATATTTGAAATGTGTATTTATCACAATCATTAAGGGAAATACATGTCACACCATCAGTAGTACAATTATTTTTAGCTGTTTAACATTAAGAATGAGAAGGGAATGCTATCTATTTACAAGATTCAAATTAAGTACAAATATTTTTACCATTTTCAACAATCTAAATACATTCTCCATCTATACCTACATAACATCCTCCATTAGTATTGGTATCTTTACAGAATGTAATTGGAACACATTATACTCCATCAGTTGTACATTCTTTTGAGACTTTTTAACATTCTTCATGAGTTTAGAATTTGATATCTTCACATTATGAATATTAATAACATTAATTATTTATCCATAAGCAACTTCCATCAATTCCAATTATACAATGCAATTTCTAAGTATATTCAGAACAATTCATAAGATCCATGCAAAAACCCCTTCTTATATAGTCAGCTGTACATTCTTTCGAAATAGCTTAACAAGAATTATGATTTGAACCATTATAATCCAAACATTCTTGATTTCTACACTAATTTATAGTTGTATCCCAAACACATGATATTAATGATGAATCAATTTGACATTATTCTTAGATACTATATTCAATGCATTACATCAAATTAATACATCCTCCATTTTATTGAGTTGTACATTTATTAAGATATTATTAACATTAGGAATGAGTTGTTAAGGTTTTGGGAGCTATATTACATGATCTTACTTAGCATTATTTATTTGCTGTCCATTAACATAATTGACCATCTGATTAAGAGACACAACTAGCTTCATTGAATGCTTGATTACATTTTCTTCTGGGGATACATTAAGTTCCATCACTGGTACAATGAGACATAATATTTCTGCATTCTTCATCAGTTGAATAATAATAATATTCACATATTGCTGTTTTACATTTAATAGTATCATTATAACATGAATCTAAATATTATGTACAATCACTAATACTATCAGGTATATTCTAACATGTTTTAGTAATACATTTATTTTGATCATTATCATAAATACATTCACTAACTTCACATTGTATCATTGTCATTTCTTCACAAGTTTCTGGAATTATTTAACATCCAGTTCCAGTTGTTAATACAGTACATGTGTTCAGATAATTATTACATTAACTATGTGTTGTATATGATAAAGGTGCTGTTAAACAACTTTTGACTTTGCATTTCTTATCTCTTTCATCATATCCACATGCCATCCCCTTTTTGGTAATAATGCACGATCCTTAATCAGTATAATTTTCACAAAGATCTAACTAAAATGTACAACCACCACCGCTTTTAGTTGTGCATTTAATCTTTGTATAATAGGTTAAACATTATTATAAAGTTGTTAGAGAAGTTGGAGCAGTAGTGCATGTTTTAGTATAACATTTATCATCATTCCATTGACATTATTATCCGTTAATATCAATAATACATGATTATTATGATGTAAATGATTCACATTATTATTGATTATCTTAACAACCTATACCAGTATTATCTAATATACAATTAATGTATTAAATAGATTTGCATTATTCATTAGTAGAGTATAATGATGTTTTTTCAATATTTGAGCATTTAAGTTCTACACATTTCTTATCTGTAGGATTCCACCAACATCTATTATTATTGATATCAAAATAACATTATTTTTAAAGTTCATAAAGATTACAAGTATTTTTTCTTTTCTCACAACCTCCTAGTTTATCAACTGTACAAGTATTTAAATAAGATTCACATACTTAATTATTCAAAAATGTTTAAGGAGCATATTCGCATTTCCTAGCAATACATATATTATTTATAAATTCACATTTAACTGATTTAGATTATGAACAACTATTTTAAGTAGTGTAATCTGAACAATTATCTTTAATTTCTATACATCCTGTTCCATCATAATTGGATGTGCAACTTGACATCCATTTCTGACAAATTTAATGATTATATTCAGACTTAATAGCATTACTACATGTCTTATCAATGCATTGTTGTGAACTTGTTTTATCTGGATTATTCGTGCATTCTTTATCTAAACTCTCACAAGTTGAATCATATTGAAATTTTATTTAACTGCAAGACTCCTTTTGATTTAAATCCTTACAAATAAATTATCCATTATTATATTCTATAAAACAATATCCAGCTTTAGAATAATGACAGAGATTAACATCCTAGTATTCTTAGCAGGATCCTTTTATATCTGTGCATTATTCTAAATCAATTTATGAAGTACAACCAAGATCAAAATTTTTACAATCAGCTAAAGTTGCTTTAGGTTATGTTACAGTAAAACATTCCTTTTTCTTGCAATTATCACTGTTTGGATTTTTCATACATGCTTCTCTAAATGAAGGACATGTAATATCAGTTCCTGACATTGATGTGCAATCCTCATATTGTTTTCTACATTAAAATTGTTATTACAAACTTATATATTTAATACAAAATCCTTCATTTTTAGAATAATAACAATTATTTTCATTTGTGTATTAATTACAATAATCTGAAATGGGAATACATTAAGTCTGAGTTCTATTAATAGAACATGAATAAAGATTTAAACATTATTCAAGAGCAGTGTAATTATAGTCAGTA